ATACCCTACACCACTTTAGTGGGGAGGGTATATTGGGTTTGTGCTGATGTTTGTAACGCACAATAATATTGGTCCTATACCCACCTTAAAGTATACCAATCGGCTCAGAATCATTTTCTGAGTCGATTTAGCTATGTCCGTAATCACCGTAATAAACCTTGTAATCAAACTACAGGTCGCAATTTTGAAGATAATTCAATGAAATTTGGTACATGATCTTCTATTGTCCCAGGGACGAAGCCTTTTGAAAATGGTTAAGATCGGTCCATTATTTCACCTAGCCCTCATACAACTGAACCCCCCAATAGGGCTTGTAATACTTGTAATCAAACTACAGGTCGCAATTTTGGAGATAATTCAATGAAATTTGGCACATGATCTTTTATAGTACCGTAGACGAAGCCTATTGAAAATGGTTAATATCGGTCTATTATTTCACCTAGCCCCCATACAACTGAACCCCCGAATAGGGCTTTTAAAACTTGTAATCAAACTACAGGTCGCAATTTTGGAGATAATTCAATGAAATTTGGCACATGATCTTTTATGATACCGTAGACGAAGCCTATTGAAAATGGTTACGATCGGTCCATTATTTCACCTAGCCCCCATACAACTGAACCCCCGAATAGGGCTTTTAAAACTTGTAATCAAACTACAGGACGCAATTTTGGAGATAATTCAATGAAATTTGGCACATGATCTTTTATGGTACCGTAGATGATTTATATCGGTCCATTATTTCACCTAGCCCCCATACAACTGAACCCGCCGAATAGGGCTTTTAAGTTCATAATTATGTTTAATATACTCATATCTCGACCAAAAGCTGCAATAACCAAGTTGTATACAAGACTTGATGACCCTCACGAATTCCATAATAATAGGTTCTCTTAGCCCCCTAGCCCCTATGAAAAGCCCCCATCAAAATTTCACTTAAATGTCCACAATTTTATTCAACAATAAGCGGCTTAATTATGTACCCAGCAAAATCTTTGCTTACAATTTTAATTTTAATGACTTCCTTAATTCATTACTTTGAAGCTTTATAAGCCACTTTTTGCATTATTAGTTATATATTAAATAATAACTTCTTAATTTTTTCTTATATAATAATATAAATCAGTTCTTTATACGATTAATAATCTTTATCGATTCATAAAGATGTAATACAGCTTCAGAAAGAGTTCCCTCCGATATAAAACACATGAGTTTATGTATGTATAAGATTCTGCATAACATTCTTACTAGTGGTATTTCAATAAAAAAGGAAGCTTGATAATTAAAAAAGATTACAACATTTATTATATCCGAAAATACAAACAATAAATTGCACTCAGAACATTTTAACGCAAAATTTCATTAAAAAATCATTATCGGAATTGGATTTCAAAACGATAAACGATTTATCCAACCAAAATCTGAAAGCATTGAATTTAATTTATCCAATGTATGTTTTTGTCGTTTTGAAATCCAATGATAGAATTTAATTATAACTCTGAATGCTTAAAAAACTGCCTTTTGTTGAAAAGCATGAAGGAGTATATGTATATACATATTTCGATAGCTTTTTGTTTAAGTTTTTTTCCTAATGAATGAGCTCATCCCACTTTGGCGTAATAATTTACCTGAAAATTATACGTAAACATATTTACTATACATATGTATGTATGTAAGTATATGCAGGCCTATTCTGAATAATAATTCCCCGCTAGTTTGTTTCCTTTTGAAGCTTAATGTATAGTATTAAGCAACAAACTCCCAGAGAATATATATTCTGAATAGTCCCGATAGTACAATTGTTCTTACATTAGCAATGAGTAATGAAACAGACCCACAGTCTTATTAATCTCCGAGTTCCATCTAAGACAATGTATCACATAATTGTAAAAAACATTTCTAGTTTTTATGTAGTTTATACGTGCAGTCTATTAACAATAATTATTAAGTTTAAGAAAAGAATATTAATTATACAATTTGTATATTTTTCCTTATAAAATACTTCTTTGTACTAGATTTAAAAATGTAAATACAAGCAGCTGATTTGTTTCAGTGATGTCATCAATAACAAAAGAAAATCGCGTACATCATTAATAATAATTTTCTAATCTGTTTTTGCTGAAAGACGTTTTTGCTAAGAGCTTGGAAGGTAAAAATAAACCTTTTTTTGTTAATACCTATTAATTTAATGGTAAAACAATTTAAATGTATTTATACCTACTAGAGTTCGCCCAGCGGTCGAAATTCGACCAGAACCAATGCTGGAAAAATTGCATAAATAAGCTAAAATAAAACCCTATTTTTGTAGTCTGTGGTAAAAAATTAACTTTATTGATATTATCAAAGTGTATAATTTGCTTTGAATAATGTTTTCTTTTAGAAAATGTGATGGGTTTTAGTAAAACTTCCATCAGAAGTTTAAAACCTCAATTGTCAAAATTAGTTATACAACTTGTTTTACAAAAGTATTTCAACTATTTTAAAAATAATAAAAAATAACGAACATTTCATCTATCGACTTATTATCCCCTACATATTTACGCATCGTTCACAGTGCTGTAGTACTCTACTGTACAGTGTACACAATAGTAAAGAAATGTTAGCTGTTCAAAATACAGAGTTGAAATGTTATAAATAATTTGTGAAAACAGTAAAAATATTTAAAATAAATAATGTCTTATCTAATTATAAATAAATTTTATTTGGATGTCATTAGTAGTCCATCCAACAGGTATATGCTGTATAAATTTTCCCTTATAACACTCGATAAAGACTTCAGCAGACATACATTTATTCAATTTTAATGTCTTCTAATAGAATTTAATAGTAGATATTCTATGAGACCTTCTAATGGGCCTTTTATTAGCCTTCATATAGAACCGCATAACGATATGCATTGGCTTCCAATTACACACTGATTTTGTATATGCATAATAAGGCCTTAATTTCTCAAGTACTGTTTTTAGTACAGTTTGAAAGAAAACATTAATAAACTATAAATTTCAGTCTTTTGTTAATATATGCAAGTTTAATAGCAAGTAAATGAATAATAAACGATAAATTGCTAAGTACGGTTAAACACTCTTCATCCCAAATGACATGATTTATATTTAGCAGTTTCAACTTGTATCTATTTTTATACAACAAATAACCATCACATATTCAACTTACAGTTTTCACTTTACACTACTATTTCCTAATTGGTTAGAATAGCCCAAAAAAAGAAGAATATCATCAAGTCTTCGCTGTGCTAGACCTGCATATAAGCGATATGGATATGTATCCATTTATTGCGGTGTATAATATACCGGCATGACCAACTAAACTTTACTTATATTTTTTACAGGCTATTTTTATTTCTTACTGACACTGAATCAATCCGTTAATCCATCATTTAAATCTTCCAAATCAATCAAAACTAATAATTATGTACCGCAATTCAGTATTTTTTTTAACTACAACATTTTGTCGTTATGTGGTATGTATTCTGAACTTCATTTCACCGATTAAAAGTTCACGTTAATAATTTTATATTTTAAAAATATTTCAATACATAACTTTTGACATTCTTATATTTTTCCGATATTTGTCTTTAAAATATTCTACGGTTGTTAAAAAGTTAGGGAAATTCGTTAATGTAACTGATATTTGTCATTACTTTTGGATATCAATACTTAAAATTAAATTCCGGTACTGATGTCCTACCAATAATTTTCCAGTTCAAACACCAATATCAGTACATTTTTTGGCATTTCTTTAGGTGTCCCCAAGCATTATTTACGCATGTTTTTATATTCCCAGTTCGTTGTTTCCTCAGGAATGTCCTTCAATTTAACTATTTTGAAAAGTTTAAATAACGAAAAACTTCCAATCGAAAACTCTGAATATAAAACTGAAGTCCTACTTTTTATAAAAATATTCCTTTCGATTTGGTAACAATCGTAACGATATTATAACAAAATAGATCATTATTTCATTCACAATTTAGCACTTTACACAAAAATATAAAACAATAAAATCCTATTTTCGCATTGCCTAAGCCTTATTAAAAACAACAACAAAAACAAATATCATGCAAAATACAAAAATCAAACAGCAACAGAGAAGTTAAACGTTTCTGCACTCTCCTCTCTTTTTTCAAAAAGTTGTTTATTTTTTTGTTTTGTTTCTTGCTTTGTTTGTTTTTAATTTCAAGAATACGTACGTGTGACTATTGTTTCTATGTATTAGTAACAACTTTAAACTCTTATAGCTCCTAAAATTCTGAACCGATCTCATTAATATATATATTGTGCACATCTGCGAACAAATACCTTTAAAATGATATAATTTTTGCCAAGATCAGATGTATACTGTAAGAGTAAAAGGGGTCACAAAAAATCGTCTTGCCTATTAATTATATAGATATGTACATATATATACATACATTTTTTAACTCTGAATTAAAATTTTAGTTTTCTATATTGACTATTTTTAACCTTCATTACGAATCTTGTTGTCAACACTGTTTTTATTGCACCAATCAAGTCAAATTTAAACAGGTGTATGCGAGTGCGCAGCTGATTATTTTTTATATATAGACTTATAAACATTTACTTGTCAAACTCCATATAATAAAAAATTGACAGTGAGTTGATTGCTCTCCGATGCGCTAACTCAGTTAATACAATTTGATAATATTACAATAGAGTTGTTTTGATGTTATATCTGTGGTTTTGATTACTCGTTGATGAAAATAACTGGTACTTCTTTGTAAATTGTATATTAGCTAAATGTTATTTTACTCAATTCATGAAATATCAGACAAATTGGATAAATATACAGGTTCATATATTTATATATATATACATATGTACATATATTTACATTCTTTTAAAGATTATTAAATATTAAAATTTTTTTTAGTAAATACTCGTCAAATTAGTGGGTATTTTGCAAACTTGTATTCAGTAATCAAAAGAATACTTTCACTTATACATCACTTGTAAAATAGACGCCAATAATAAGAAAAGTGTAATAAAGTGACGCGCAGAAAATTCTATTTAAAACAAATATTTGAAAATTTAAACAAAAATCAAAAAAGAAGTGTCTTAAAACAATTACATACCTAAAATTACAAATAATAAAAAGCAAACGTAAGTAAATATAAGTATATCAAAATGTTAAATAAAAAAGAATATAATAGACGTTTAAAAAAAGAAAAGTGTCGAATCAAACAAATGGTTTCTTCTGAAAATGTTGAGGAAGCAAATAGACCAAGTTCTTCCAATGTGCCTTCCCATTCAAATGTAGAGCAAAATTTACCATCTTTCGAAATTCCTCGCGAGAGTTTAGCCGAAAAATTAAAACAGTGGTTTATAGAAAATAAACCAACTATTGAGTGCACAAATAGTCTTTTAAAAATTTTAAAATCTGAACAATTAAATGTTCCTACCTCTGTAAATGGTCTTTTGGGTAAAACCATTAAATGTGTTGAACGTACTGTTTCTCCGGGAACATACGTTCACATTGGTTTAAAACAACAGCTGGAAAAACTAGCTAAACCTATTGAGTCTTTAAAACTTAGTGAGATTGAGGTCGACATTGGAGTCGACGGATTGCCAATTTTTAAAAGCTCAGCAATTGGACTGTGGCCAATTTTAGGAAGAGTAGTTTCCGTGGAAAATTCTACTTATAGGCTTTATGATAGGCTCGTACATTGGGATAAATAAACCAGTGGACGTAAATTGCTTTCTTCACGACTTTGTTCGCGAAGTAAAAGATTTGCATGAAAATGGACTTCTAATTAATGGCAATAGGATTGAGGTTCATATAAGAGCATTTATTTGCGATGCACCAGCAAAATCATTTTTGTGTGGTACCAAAGGTCATATGGCCTACAATGGCTGTACAAAATGTTGGACAAAGGATAAACAATGCTGTTACCTTTTCCACAAGTACCGGAAATAAAAGAAGCGATGAAGATTTTTGCGCAAGAAAATACAATGATTTCCATAATCCCATGCACGCGAGTGCTCAAATGGCGTTAGAATCTATAGGAATCGGAATGATTTCTCAGTTTCCTATAGATTCTATGCATTTGTTGGATTTGGGAGTGGGGAAAAAAATGCTTTTATATATGATAAATAAAAAAACAATAAATCCTATATCTAATTCTTCAATAATTTCCATTTCTGAAAAGCTTCTATCACTATCTGTTTCAATTCCGCGAGAATTTTCAAGAAAACCCAGATCACTTTCTGAAATTTCAAGATGGAAAGCCACAGAGTTCAGACAATTTTTATTGTACACAGGAATAGTGGCTTTAAAAGATTTTATACCAGTAGAATTATATGAGCACTTTCTAATACTCCACTGTTGTTATAGAATACTTAGTTCTATACCCAATGCTACTAATATGGAAAAAGTTACTACAATGCTCCAAACATTTGTTGAAAAACTTCCTTTTCTATATGGCATGGCCAGTGTATCATACAACGTTCACAATATTTTGCATTTAGTAGAATGTGTTGGCCAATTTGGAAAGCTACATAATTTTTCGGCATACCCTTTTGAAAATTTTATGAAAATAATAAAAAAAAACTAAAATTGCCAAAACATTTGGGTCAACAAATGTTCAATATTTTTACTGTTGAACCTATTGAGGCGAAAAGTACATATCTAGGCTTAAAGTACAAAAATGGGGAAGTGAGATCTAATTTTACAACAATAGGCATTTTTTCTACTACATTTCCGGACAATATATGCTTAATGCAAGACAATTCCTTTGTCGAAATTACAAAAATTATTGACAATAATACTTTTTTGGCACAAAAACATACTTCTCTTGAAAACTTTTTCGACTTCCCCGTAAAGTCTTTGGACTTAAATATAGGATTTAGTGAGGGACATTTCTCTGAAGAAGACACTTTTTGTTTCGATGCAATTTTAGCGAAAGCATTGAAACTTTCATATAAAAATGGTTTTATTTTAATTCCAGAAATTTAAAAATTTAAAAATGTCAAGCAAACCCAAAAAATCTAAGCATTCTTCTTCCACTGACATACATATCATGTTAGAAGATATTCATGCTGATCTACAGAAAATCAAAGGTAAACAATGATATTATAACTTAATTTTTTATATAACATATTGATTTAAAAACCAAAGGAAGTTGAAGAATATAAAAAAAGTATGTTTGGTAAGTATATGAAAAATTGAAATATAGAAATAGTACTTATAGACTAGACTATAGTCCAGTGTAGTCCTTAGCCTACACTATAGTCATTTCTATAGTCCAGTATAATCTAGTATAGACTATAGAATATACTATAGAATACACTATAGTCTAGTCTATAGACTATACTGGACTATGGACCATAGACTGCACTATAGAATACACTATAGACTGGACTATAGTCTAGTGTAGTCTATAGTTTACAACATATTAAATTCTATAGTCCAGTATAGTCTAGTATACACTATAGACTAGACTATAGAATACACTATAGACTACACTATAGAATATACTATAATGTAGTCTATAATCTAGACTATAGTCTAGACAATAGTGTATTCTATAGTATAGTCTATACTAAACTGAAGACTATACTGGACTATAGACTATACTATAGAATACACTATTGTCTAGACTATAGTGTACTTTATAGTCTATACTAAACTGTAGACTATACTAGACTATACTGGACTGTACTGTACAATACACAATAGTTTAGACTATAGACAACACTATAATGTAGTCTATAATCTAGACTATAGTCTAGTCTATAGTCCAGTATAGTTTAGTATAGACTATAGAATAGACTATAGTCCAGTGTAGTCTATAAGCTAGACTATATTCTAGACTATACTCTACTATATAATAGACTATACTCTGGATTATAGACTAGACTATAGAATAGGCTATAGACTAGACTATAGAAAATACTATAGACTAGACTATAGACTGAACTATAGTCTAGACTATAGACTATTTATATGTGTTTAATATTTTAATTATGTATTGTTTATAGAAAAAATTGAAAAGCAGAACAACGGCGTTTGCGAGGTGTTAGCAGAGCACAGTGTTTGTTTAAAATCAATTGTATCCTCATTTTGGAATACACCGAAATATATAAAGCAGTTCCCTATTAAAACAGAGGAAGAATTATTAAAATGGGAAGATGGAATAAATGAGGAAAATAAGGATGAAATGGTAATCTACTACTTATTTTAAAAATACGAAGAAAATTAACATAATAAAACAATTTTTGTTATTCTAGGTCAAAACTTTGAATGCTATCATGGGGGAGAAAGGCCTGTGTAAAGGATTACCTCTAATAATACACAAGAAACTTCTGCTAAAATATAATTTGAATGGTACTCATAATAAAAAGGGGCTAAAATTTTTCAAAAATGTTATGGATGTGCTTTTTTGTAAGTATTAAACAAATTAATAAAATTCGTACATAGAAATATATGTATTAATTACAAATATTTCTAGTATCCTATACTTCATCATCTGTAAACAAATGCGAACCCAACACTTTTGAAAAAGAAATAAGATTGGCACTAAGAAAAATCAAAAATCGACACTTTAAAGATGCTTTTGATGAAAAAAAAACGTGAAATGAAAAATAATGCAGATACAACAGCTGAATAATGCGCTTTTATTATATCCCCACATTATTCATTTACTTTTTTCAATTCTGTGAATTAAATTTTATAACTATTTTCACTGAATGTGTATTAATACCTGTCTTTAAAAATGTGATTTAATTTTTTATGCCTTAAGTTAATTGATAAAAAATTTAAAGCCAATTCAAGTTTCTATAAATTGGTAAACTTTTTTATTTTACTTTTCTTACAAAAATATCAATACCTCTGAATTAAATATGATATAATAATTTTAGATTTTACTCAAATTTGCAATCGATTTTCTGTTTTCATTGCTCAGAGAATGAGTTTGAGAAATTATAATACATACATTTATAGATATACTGTTTTTTTGTGTTTTTAAAAGTATTGAATTGTTTTTTATGTTCGAACATACGTACTTGTAAATATGTATATCCAATGAATTTTTTATTTTTACATGTTTATATGTATATATATATATATATATATATTATTTTTAATATAAATAAATTTCTTATTTGTTATCAAATGTGCTTATTATTTGGATTCCAGTAAGTACTTTTAATTAAAGTTTATTGTAATTAATTATATATTCGTTTCTAAGAAAACTTTTTGTAAGTCATTATAATTTTGATTTCATAAAGAGCAATTGTAATTAGTTATTTTTAATCTTCTTCCAAATAAATTTTTAACTAGTTATATTTTGTGTGTTTTTGTAACTACATAATTTTATAAAAATGTTAAGGGTAAAAAAAAGTTGTTATTATTTAGGTTGTAATTGGTAAAATTATAATGTATTACTTTTGGAACATCGCGAACAAAAAAAAGTACTTCTTCTAGTAGAATTGTAAGTACTTTACTCGACGAGTTCTGGTGATTTTTCTAGTGAATTTGTAAGCAAATATTTTGCTGGGTATATCTAAGGCAAGGTACAATTCAACTTAAATGCTTTATTATGGCAACTAAATCACATTATATTTTTGTCAAAGGTGTAGGTCGGCCTCGTCCGACTATATTCTTACTTGTTTTCTTTATCGAAAAGGGAGTGCTCCTTCCATACTAAGTAGTGTAGGTTCTTAAGTTACTTACAACTTGGTATTTAAGCCTGCCTTCGCAATATCACCAACTAAGGTTAAGCATTTTGAAGGAAAATTGCGCGTTTTTCAAAAAGGACTAAAATTATTAAATTATTATAGTGATATCACAAAATTTTTTACGTACTGGAGGGCCTGGAGTTCAGGATCGCAATACACTGGGATTGGAATCCCATATTGGTCACATTTCTTATTTTATAGCACGTCTTCAACTATTTCACTTCCACAAAATTTTCATTCATTGTCTTCATGAAATTTCTTTCATTCCTGGAATTAAATTTTAATTTTTTCACAAAAATTTTTATTTTTTCATTATTTTATTACATATGGAGTTTCAAAATCATTTCCATATTTCATTTATCAAAAATTATTTCAGAAATTTCTTATAATTCCTTAATAATAATTTTTTTTTTTTTACGAGGAATGACATTTTAATCATCCTTATATTTCACTAAAAAAAAAAAATATATTTAATTTTATTATTTCACTTCGCGAGCCAAGATTTTTTTAGGACCTCGCACGTCCTTTTTTCAGACTGGCCGGTCCCTGCTCGGGCGCCAGTTAAGCACGACGATATTCGTGCTTTAAAAAAATAAGGGTTGGGCCACCCATGGGCCCAACTCACCTTTTAAAATAATACACAATTAAAATTTTATATATATTAATTTATTTCCGTTCAACTATCCCGATGTCAGCCTAGAATTGAACTGATTTAAATTGTCAGTTCAATTAAAAATGAAATTCTAGTTTACAAAAGTGATAAATATAATTAATAAAAATGCTTACACTAACTTAAATTAATGGGAACGGATGGACAACCTTTTATTCCCATAAAAATGTACTCATAAGCGGAGCAGAAAAGGCGAAGTCGAGGTAGAATTGTCGGCGGCGGCGGCTGAGATAAAATAATCCGGCGGCGGCTTAAAGTCGGCTCAAAGCGGACTGTTTTTATTGTTATATTAGACCCAATATTTTTCATATATAAAATTCAATATTTTTTATTAATATAAAAACAAAAAATAACAAAAAAAAAAGAATTCAGTCTTTGAACTTTAAATTTAAAATAAGAAACAAAAAATACATTATTTTAAAAAAGGCTCAACAAGTTTTCTGTTGTCATGTACAAACAGTTGCTTTTTTACAGTGGCTGGATTAAGTCCACTACGTTTTTCATTTATGCAGCTTCCTGCGTGTGAAATTGCCTGTTCTGAGGATGAGGATGTAGCCGGAATTCCAAAGCAGAAATTGGCCAGTCTAGAAATATTAGGGAACAACTAAAAATATTTACAAATTTTAATTGATGTTTTCATTAAATAAAGTTGCACTCATACATGCATTTGTTCCTTCCACCAATCAGTAGGTTCCGATTCTTGGACCTCTATTTCTAGATATTTCTTGACTTTTAATTCTATAGAACTTGTGGGATCTGGAGTTGTTGTTCCCAAAAATTCCAACATTTGTTGCCGTGTGTTCGAAATTTTCTAAAATAGAAATATTAATGAACATTTTTAACCAGAGATAATATTATTTTTACCTGTATTTTTCTAGAAGGTTCTTCTGAATGTCTTGTTGATGTTTGACTGGAAGATGGAAGATTATCGTCCAAATCCTTAATTTTTTTTATTTCTTCAATTATAATTTTTGATTTTGAAGCTGCATTTTCCACCTCATTTGTAAGTTGAAACGACATGGGGACATCATTTGGAACTCTTTTCATATATATCTCCAATACCGGCCAGTTTTTCTGGCATGGGTCCATAAGGGCTGCGACGACATGTATTTTATGCAGCTTTATACGATTTCGCAAATTTTCTTTTGAGAAATTGCAGAGTTGTATTGTTAAATCGAAACAAGACTCCTCTCCCAGTTTTTCTAACGACGATAGTATGCTTTCATAAAAATATATTATAGAGCTTATTGTTGGGTATTGTTGTCCTTGCAAGTAGGTGGTTGAATTTTCAAAGACTTGCAAAAATTTTGAAAATTCTTTTTCATTTTCCATATCTGGGATAATTAATAACTCTTGATTGACTTGAAGTAATGCAATATTAATTATATTAATGTTCTTTACAAAACTATTAATCATAACTAATAGTGAATTCCATCTCGTCGGTACGGCATTTTTTAATGTCGATGCTGGCCGTGTATGGACAAAATCCTCTAAAAAATTGTCATCACCGCTTGGAAACCGCTCATAAGAGTTTAAACTTTCCATGAAACTTTCGGCTTCCAAAATTATTCTTGCCAGGTCCCCTTGATTTTCTAAATTTTGTAGTTTAGAAATATCTTCAGCACGGTACAACAAACTCCTGTATATTTTCTTCAATTTACTTAAAATTGAGTTCACATGTTGGAACCGTTCATGGCATAAAACATCGTGTGATAAAAACCGATGTAAAGAGTGGGCGTTGCAATTGTAACGAGTAATGTTTCGGATTTTTAATGCTGATATAATATTCGACCCACCATCTGTCACCGCACATATCTTTTTATCATTTAAATTAAATTCATTTAAGCACTTTTCAATTTTTTGGGAAACTGCGAATCCTGTGTGAGGACGTGGGAAAATTTCCGTCTTTAATGTTATGATTTTCATTTCGAAATTTTGGCAATAGTGGACTTGAATATTTATGTATGATAGGTGTTTATAATTATCTGACCACATATCTAAAACTAGTGTAATATCATTGGGTGATGACTCCAAGATTTTGTTAATGTGGCCTATATAAACATTAAAAACATCATCAGTGCAGATGTAGCTATGGTCCGGTCTGTAGGAAGTACTGTTTTTGGATTTAAAAATTTTACAAATTTTTGGAATCCTGGTCGATCAACTATTGAAAAGGGCTGCAGATCCCAGCAGCACATTTCTGCAATTCTGCGTCCATTTTGAAATTTAACATTGCAAGTTGACGATGATTCTAATGCAGATTGTGTCATATCCATATTTTTTTGTAGTTCAACGATTTAACATTTAGATTGTGCACTACACGCAGGTGGTTTAAATAATTTGTTGTCGACGTAGCTTTTCCAAACCTTAATAAAAAATTAGTACCATTTTGAAGATATGGAATTCAGTAAAACTTACCCTTTCAAAGTACCTTGATCTAGACATTCTTTGCAAAATTTATATTTTTGAAGAATATGGCGGTTTTTTAGGTAAAGTTCCCCGAAATGTTTCCAACATTCCGACAAACCTGTCGCATTCACGACAACCTTTGCCAAAATTTTCAATTCCTCCTTTTTTTTAAATAAATCCTCATAGTAGGAAATATCAGCATTACTTAAAACCATTCTATTTATATCCATTTCATCTGAATCTGAATCAGATGAAACAACTTGATTCTGTTTTTTTGAAAAATAATTATCAATATTTTTTTGAGTCATTTTGTAAAAGAAAATTGTTTTATTGACGCAAAAAATATAACGGGAGATTTTGTTTAAATGTCAACAAAGTAAAGAAAACAAAAATGAGTGTTGCCACATATATTTAGTATTATCTTAAGGTTGCCAGTGTAAAAGCACACAAATTGCCGCGTTGCCACATTGATAAAAATTGTATACATTGTAAAATATATATAAACTTCCAATTGGAATTTGTATTAATTGATAATAATAAAAACTTAGTATTGTATTGTTGACTCAAAAAAATAATATGCATTTAATTTTATTAAATAAAAAAATTTCTTTATCCTTAAATTTTACAATTTTAAGTCGACTTAAGCCGCATTCTTCGGCGGCGGCTCAAGCAACTAAAAATTGTTCGGCGGCGACTACGCGCCGACTCGAAGCCGCTCGACTTCGCCCTCTGAAGCGGAGTTTCAAATTACTACACACTTGCCCAAAAGAATTGCTTAGTTGCAATTTATATTGAGCGCGTGCACAAGTGCGTTTAATGCCTTTAGTCATACCAAATGCGTAGTGTGTTAACTTATATTATAAATCGCTTTGTAAGTCTGTTCGTTTGTTTGTTTGTTTGTTCGTCAATCACGTCTAAACGGCTGGACTGATTTTCTTCAAATTTGGAACATAGTTAGATCTATACTTGGAGAGTGTTATAGGCTATATATTTTTTCAGAACATGGACTAGGAGGGAG